GCAATCGGCTTGTCAGTATTTTATTGAAGATTTTTGCATCTATGTTCATCATGGATATTGGCCTGAAGTTTGCTTTTCTTGTTGAGTCTCTGCCGGGTTTTGGAATCAGGATGATGTAGGTCTCATAAAATGATTTGGGAAGAATTCCCTCTTTTTGTATTGTTTGGAATAGTTTCAGAAGAAATGGTACCAGCTCCTCTTTGTATGTCTGGTAGATTGCAGCTATGAACCCATCTGGACCTGGGCTTGTTTTGGGTGGTAAGCTCTTAATGGCTGCCTCAACTTCAGACCTTGTTATGCGTCTGTTCAGGGTTTCGGCTTCTTCCTGGTTTAGGCTTGGGAGGAGGCAAGTGTCCAGGAATTTATCCATTTCTTCCAGGTTTATTAGTTTGTGTGGATAGAGTTGTTTGTAATAATCTCTGATGATGGTTTGAATTTCTGTGGAATCTGTGGTGATATCCCCTTTATCGTTTTTTATTGCATGAATTTGGTTATTCTCTCTTTTCTTTTTTATTAATCTGGCTAGTGGTCTGTCTATTTTGTTGATCTTTTCAAAAAACCAGCTCCTGGATTATTGATTTTTTGAAGGGTTTTTTGTGTCTCTATCTCCTTCAGTTCTGCTCTGATCTTAGCTATTTCTTGTCTTCTGCTAGTCTTTGAGTTTTTTTGATCTTGCTCCTCTAGCTCTTTCAGTTTTGACGATAGGGCATCAATTTTTGATCTCTCCTTGCTTCTCATGTGGGCACTTATTGCTATATATTTTCCTCTAGATACTGCTTTAAATGTGTCCCAGAGATTCTGGTGTCTTGTGTCTTCATTCTCATTGGTTTCGAAAAACATCTTTATTTCTGCCTTCATTTCATTGTTTATCCAGTCAACAATCAAGAGCAAGTTGTTCAGTTTCCATGAAGCTGTGAGATTCTGGGTTAGTTTTTGAATTCTGATTTCTAACTTCATTGCACTGTTGTCTGAGAGAGTGTTTTGTTAGGATTTCCTTTCTTTTGCATTTGCTGAGGAGTGATTTACTCCCAATTGTGTGGTCAGTTTTAGAGTAGGTGTGATGTGGTGCTGAGAAGAATGCATATTCTGTGGATTTGGGGTGGAGAGTTCCGTAAATGTCTATTAGGCTTGCTTGGTCCAGGTCTGAGTTCAAGTCCTGGATATCCTTGTTTATTTTCTGTGTGGTTGATCTGTCTAATGTTGACAATTGGATGTTAAAGTCTCCCACTATTATTGTGTGGGAGTCTAAGTCTCTTTGTAAGTCATTAAGAACTTGCCTTGTGTATCTGGGTGCTCCTGTATTGGGTGCGTATATATTTAGGATCGTTAGCTCTTCTTGTTGCATTGATCCTTTTACCATTATGTAATGTCCCTCTTTGTCTCTTATGATCTTTGTTGCTTTAAAGTCTAATTTATCAGACATGAGAATTGCAACTCCTGTTTTTTTTTTTTTTTTGCTCTTCATTTGCTTGGTAAATCTTCCTCCATCCCTTTATTTTGTGACTTTGTGTATCCTTGCATGTGAGATGTGTTTCCTGTATACAGCACACCAATGGGTTTTGACTTTTTATCCAATTTGCCAGTCTGTGTCTTTTGATTGGGGCATTTAGTCCATTTACATTTAGGGTTAATATTGTTATGTGTGAATTTGATACTGCCATTTTGGTGCTAGCTGGGTGTTTTGCCCTTTAGTTGAGCTGGTACTTGTTGTTCCTGTATATGTGTAGAGCCTCTTTCTGGAGCTCTTGTAGAGCTGGCCTGCTGGTGACGAAATCTCTGAGTACTTGCATGTTCCCAAAGGATTTTATTTCTCCTTCACTTATGAAACTTAGTTTGGCTGGATAGCAGATTCTGGGTTGAAAGTTTTTTTCTTTAAGGATGTTGAATATTGGCCCCCACTGTCTTCTGGCTGCTAGCATTTCTGCTGAGAGATCTGCTGTGAGTCTGATGGGCTTCCCTTTATGGCTAACCCGACCTTTCTCTCCGGCTGCCCTTAGTATTTTCTCCTTCATTTCGACCGTGGTGAATCTGACGATTATGTGCCTTGGGGTTGCTCTTCTTGCCGAATATGTTTGTGGTGTTCTCTGTATTTCCTGGACTTGAATGTTTGCCTGCCTTGCTAGGTTGGGGAAGCTGTCCTGGATAATACCCTGAAGAGTATTTTCCAGCTTGGATTCATTCTCTTCGTTGCATTCAGGTATGCCTATCAAACGTAGATTAGGTCTTTTCACATAGTCCCACATTTCTTGGAGACTTTGTTCATTCCTTTTTACCCTTTTTTCTCCAGTCTTGCCTTCCCGTTTTATTTCATTGAGTTGATCTTCGACCTCTGATATCCTTTCTTCTGCTTGGTCCATTCGGCTGTTGATACTTGTGCATGCTTCACGAAGTTCTCGTGTTGCAGTTTTCAGCTCCATCTATTCACTTATAGTCCTTTCTATTTTGTCCGTTCTCGTTAGCATTTCGTCAAATCTTTTTTCAAGGTTCTTAGTTTCTTTTCATTTGGTTAGAACATGTTCTTTAAGTTCACGGAAGTTTCTTACTAGCCACCTCCTGAGGTCTGATTCTGTCATTTCATCACACTCTTTCTTCCCCCAACCTTGCTCCCTTGCTGGTGAGGAGTTGTGATCCCTTTTAGGAGGAGAGGTGTTCTGGTTTTTGGTTTTTCATCCTTTTTGCACTGGTTTCTTCCCATGTTTAAGGATTTATTCGCCTGTCGACTTTGTAGTTGCTGGCTTTCAGATTGGGTCTCAAATCTTTCAGATTGATGTTCTGTTTGTTGATGATGAGGTTATTTCTGTTTCTTGATTTTCCTTCCGACAGTCTGGCCCCTCTGCTCTAGGTCTGCTGAGGTTCACTCCAAGCCCTGCTTCCCTTGGGTTCGCCTGCAGCAGCTGCTGAACAGCAAGTGTTGTCACTAGTTTTCTTCTTCTGCTATCTTTGTCCCAGAAGGATACACGCCTAATGGCAATCTGATCTCTCTTTTATGAGGTGTCTGGATATATAGGGGTCAGGGAGCTGCTTGAGGAGACAGTCTCTTCTTTATAGGAGCTCAAATGGTTAGCTGTGTGCTCTGTTGTTCATTCAGAGCTGCTGGGCAGGTACTTTTAGGTCTGCTGCAGCAGAACTCATAAACTGCTTTTTGTTCCCAGGTGCTCTGTCCCAGGGATTTAGGGCTTTATTTCTGAGTTTCCGTTATGCTGCCACCTTCTTTTTTTTTTTTTTTTCCTTCAGACCTGCTGAGCCCAGCACGAGGCAACCTAGTCACTGTCGGCCTATAGAGGCTTTGCTGAGCTGCTGTGCGCTCCGCTCCGCTGTCGAGTGAACTTCCCTGTAGTGCTGTTTATATGGGTGTAGTTAGAAGTGCTTTGGCGATGTTGGCCCACCTCTGTTGAAGCGGAGTCTCTCTGCTGTGGCGGGTTGCCTTGGCAATGGCGGGCTGCTTCAGCAATGGCGGGTTGCCTTGTCAACGGCAGGCTGCCTCAGGAATGGCGGGCTGCCTCAGCATTGGCCGACTAACTCGGTCGTGGCGGGCTGCCTCGGTAATGGTGGACGCTCCTCCCTCACAGAGCTAGACCGTCCCTGGTTCAGCTGTGCTTGCTGTGAAAGTCTCAATCCAGAGTTTCTGGTTGCTGTTCTTTTGTAGGTGTGTGACCAGCTGAGCCTGATCACCTGGCTCCCTGCCTTAGAGCCTTTTTTAAGTTTGTGTTCCAGTCGCTTGTTGAAGAGGCGCCAGGGTGTGTTTGTTTTCCCCTGTGGCCACTCACTGCGCTGGCTTAAACAGCGGCACTGAGGTTTGTGGCGCTTTTTTTTTTTTGCCCTGGAATCTACTGCCCTGGTTCTCTGCTCAGTCCCCTTTTTGAACCGGCGAATAGGCGACTTCCCATGGCTCCAATCGCCAGCCAAAAGTGCTCTCGGACTGGTGTATTTTGTACAGAGAACCACTGCTCTGGGCGCCAACAAAGCAGCCACGCGGGGCAAAGCAGCAGTGCCTGCTGGCACAGCCGCGCTGGCCGAAACAGACGCGCTGGCGACCGTGGAGCTCCTCCGCCTGGGAATTTCCTAGTCTGTAGGCAATAAAAACGTGGCGTCCACTCACCCTCTGCGCTTTCACTGGGAGCTGCAATCCTGAGCTGTTCCTAAATGGCCATCTTTGATCCTCCTCCTTTGTCTTTTTTTTAAGTTGGTGTTCCAGTCGCCTGTTGAAGTGGTGCCGGGGACTGTTTGTTTTCCCAGGCGGTCGGTCGCTCACTGCGCTGCCTTAAACGGCAGCACTGAGATTCGTGGCGCTTTTTATTGCCCTGGAATCTACTGTCCTGGTTCTCTGCTCAGTCTGCTTTTTAAACAGACAAATGGGCAACTTCCCGAGGCTCCAATCACCAGCCAAAAGGGCACCTGGACTGGTGTATTTTGTATGGAGAACCGCTGCTCCCGGGTGGCCGACAAAACAGCCATGCGGCGCAAATAGTGGCACTGGCCAGCACAGCTGCGCTGGCCGAAACCGCCGCGCTGGCGACCCCTGGAGCTCCTTCGCCTGGGAATTTCCTAGTCTGTGTGCAATAAAAATGCAGCATCCACTCACCCTCTGCGTTTTCACTGGGAGCTGCAATCCTGAGCTCTTCCTAAACGGCCATCTTCGAAATAGTTCTTTATTCTGTCTGCACAGGACTGTTCAAGGGCTTAGCAAGGGGAATTTGAACTGTTAAAAACCTAACCCTAAAGTGTTAAACTATCGGAGTTGTGTTTTTTATCCCTAATTTCCTGGCCATAGTGTCTCCCTTTTCCGTTGTGGTGTGCCTCTGTCTCCTGGTGGCCATCAGTACCCCATCTGGTACAGATGCCACCGCCCAAAGTACACATCTACTGTTGTTTGCAGCCTTATCTGGGCCCTGTCTCTTTGCACCAACATAGTAAATTCACTTTTCCTAATTTACTGGAAACATGTAGAGGCATGTGTCATATTTCTAAAGATTTTTGAGCTCTTCCATGGTATCCTTTTACTTGTGATGTGTGTGCCAGTCTGACTCTGCTCATTAGACTCCTGTAGGCCACCAGGGTCTATGTGGTCCTGCAGATCTCAGCCACCGTGTTCCTGCTCTGGGTCCTACTGCTGACCGTGGCATCCTTCATATCAGATTTCAAAATGTTGGTCACCACTTCCTATTTAATTTCTTTGTTCCTCATTATAAACACCAGCGCCAACCCTATCATTTATTTCTTTGTGGGGAACCTCAGAAAGAAAAGGCTGAAGGAACCTCTCAGAGTGATTCTCCAATGGGCATTAGCAGATAAGCCAGAGCTGGGGAGGAACACAAAGGCAGTTGGCATTGACTCTATGGAGCAGCGGGACTCTACTCAGTATGTGGAGAATCTTCTTCCCATGGAGCACCGAGTCAAAGTGGAAACATGATTTTCCACATCTGAGTAGGAGACTTTTACACATAGTAACCCAGCCTGTTCTGCCTCATAAGACTGCTGCACGAAATCAATGTTTTCTTCTAATCAAGTACAGGTTTCATGAACTTTCAGAACAACTCTTGCTGTTTGTGGTTGGAAGAGACATTAACTTCCTTTCTAGGCAGTATACCCTGTTTGAATGAGCTCCAGTTCCAACAATAAGGGGAATGCGACCCAGTGAGACTTTCCTGGTATCTGTGGAATCCCAAACAGGGTCTATAGAAAAGGCCATGCATTATTCTCTGTCATTATCCTGGAGCATCCTCCAAGTCCAGCCATAAATTTTCCTCTCTTTGTCTATCTCCTCCTTAAATAGAGCCTGAACTTACCTGTACTACCTGATTCTCTACACCAAGAGCCATCATCAAATAAGAAGTAAGAGCCAGCGTTTTGCACCCAGATTGCCTTTGTCCAAACTTTGGCTTTCCCATTCAAAGCATGTCATTGTGGGCAAATTACTCTCTGTAAGTCTGTTTCATCTTATGCAAGAGAAAGATAAAGTTGGCATTTAATACACATGGTTGGTATGGGGATTAATTAACCTTATGAATATATAGGACTCATTGGATTTTATTTACAACATGTATAATAATTATTTAGTAAGGATGATGTGTTGCAGTGTGTTAAATAAATGTACAAATACATTAAGTTGCATAATGTAATCCCTCCTTACATTATGCAACCCAATTTGGTTGGGTTAGAATTACAACCAAACTTTAGACTTTGAAGAAAATAAATTTACCTTATCCCTTCTCCAACTTAATACCATTTAACTTGCCATCTTACTTACAAAACTCTTATATTGGCTTTCTTTTGTTGAATGACACACATTCTTTTTGCAAATTTTCTTTATTCTGTGATGAATTATGTCATTCACAATTTTTCTTGTCTTTGCCTTTTCCACTTTTTATCTCTAGTTAAAAAGGTCAATTTGAAGAGCATCTCTATGACCACATTTGCCATGAAATCTTATTGTTCTTTTATTTCTTATAACATTATTGTAATTTCTAATGGCTCCACTCTTTTGGTCTTATTTTAAGCCTCTTCTAGAAGATAAGAAATTTTGTGAGATTGAAGTCATTACTTCATGATTCAGTTTCTGTGTTCCAGTGTTTGCACATAATAAGTTTTAATAATACTCCTTTGTAATTTGAATAAAAATTGCATTTCCTTTAACTACATATCATTTATTTCAGCCTTATTAATCTTATGTCTATGATTTTAGACAATCCTTCAAGGGCTAGAATTGGCATTCTATAATATTGCTTTATATATATATGATATTGCTTTATATGTATATGCTTGAAATTCTAGCTATTTGGATATATTATTTTATTGGGGTCAAATAATATAACCAACAAAATGTTATTATTAACATTATTTGGATTTCTTTGAGATTTGCTCTGTGACTGAAGACTTGGTCAGTTTTGTCTACCATGGTGTTTAAAATAATGTATAATCTCCTTTTAAGGTGTAATTTATCAAGCAACTCAATTTTTTTATGATTTCTATATATGCTTACTCAATTATGTGTACCTGTTACTCAAAACAAAGAAGATTCGTTCAAGCCTGATATTAGAATATTTGGTGAACTCTTCATTCCCTTATTGCAACATTGTGTAGCTCATGTCTCATGATGCTGTCCATTCAGGAGCATGTTAAGGAGGTGTCAGAGCAAAGGAAGGGGCATGAGGCTTCTCGTGGACAGGTTTTTGTCTCTCAATTTCTGTTAGCTCTCCACCTATAAGCAGATCAGTCCTTTTCAGTTGTCCGAGCTGCAAATATAATTTCCAACATTTTCATTGGTCACTTCACTTTGGTTATGATTAAAAAAATATTGTTGTCATGCACACCATTTTTATAAATTTGAATTTGTCAGTCTTTTATGGCTTAGGTATTCTCAGTTATGATTAAAGAAGTTTTACCTACATCAGACAATGTAAAATGAATCTATACTGTCTTAGAATACTATTAAATTATTTCATTTGTAAACATGTAAATATTTGATCAATTTTATTTTTTTTACTGGTAGACAGTGTGAAGTATGAGCCCAGTTTCATATTTTATGTTAAATGGCTAAAGTATTCAACCTTATTAGTCATCACAAGCACTGCATAATGATATATGATTTCCTACCCCTTTTATTAATAAGCTTCAATGGCTGGACACACAGAATAATATAGAGGATTTAATGTCTTCTGCAACCAAAGTAGTGAGTTTAAGTTATTACTTTTGTTGGGGAAAAATTGAGTACTGTACCTTAAAATTATAAACACACATACACTTATAATGAACGTTTAAAGTTTTATTGCTCCATTTTTACAGAGCCAAAATAGTGTTACCAAATTATGTCCATTACAGGGTGTTTATTGAAACAATACTTGTTTTACCTGCTCCCAAGGCAGAAAAGCCCACTGTCTCTACTGTAGAGATGCAATTGGGAGGGACTGGGTGACTGGGCACTTTCATACCTGTAGCCGTGATGCAATTCTCCAAGGCAAAGCCATTAAGTAGGACTTGGCAGGAACTGGTACCCATAGCTAGGAATGGGAATCTTCTTACCAAAATAATAATAATAATAATAATAATAATAATAATACATTGATAAATATGTTCATGAGATCGTTTCCAGAAAATCTGTAAGAGAGAAGTTTTTAATAAAATGAAATTACTACTCCCCACCTCTTAAAATAAAAGAAAAAAAAATGAAACAAAACCAAACTAACAAGTGAAAAAAACATGACAAAAAAACATATGTTGAGACCCAAAGGCACAAACCTGAACCCTGGCCTTTTGCCAAAAGAAATGGGATTGTGAAATATGAACAAACATTAGAAGGGTGTTTCACCTCAAACACCCAGGTATGACCACAAAATAAACCAAATAAGGCAAATCTCCCAGAGGGAAGTTCCAGTGTCCATGGATGATTCTCCAGATAGATTAGGTGAATTCTTCTGAAGAGAAGAACAGATTACTGTGAGCCTGCGGGTGATGGACCTTACTTTGCTGAAGAGTGTGATTCTGTCTGTTCTTGTGCCCAAGAATGTACAGCTGGAAAGGACACTTACTGAATTAATGGAATTAAATGCCCATCACTTGGGTGCCTGAATGGAACTAGAGACAGTAATAAGATGATACTAGATACAGTTCTTGACAAAATAATGGTGCATTTTGCATAGATGCTAATATTTTAATTTTAATTTGGACAAGGGAGGGAGGTGTATATAATTCTGGGGTAGGTAAAAAAGGCCTATGTGTTAGTTATATTGAGGGCACTGCTATATCTCATTAGAGGGCACTCTAATGAGATGTAGCAGGACATTCTATGTGGTATGGCCCTGAGAAGAGTTTTCGCAGATATGAAAAGAGACAGAAGGAAAGGAAGTTCTTTTTTCTTATGTTTCATATCATATTCTGAGTATGAAGTCATATCCTAATCATTTGGAAAGCATGCTCAATGAGGAATGAGGACAATATTCTGAAGATGCCAGAGGTGAAAGTGGATAATTCTACTTTTTTCAAGACATTGTGTCACTGACTTGAATATCTTGCAGCAGCCCTATCTATAGGTTTCTTGGACTTCAATATCATACATCACTGACTGTTCAAATTAGTTGAGATCTCCATGAGGAGTGAAGATAGGTAATGCCTAAAGCTGAGGCGTTACCTCACTGGGTCAACTTAGCTGTGAAGGGAGGTCAGTTATCACCTTGCAAATCTTTTGGTAACTCAAATCTTGGGATTATTTCTTTATTAAGAATTTGGGGGCCGGGCGCGGTGGCTCACGCCTGTAATCCCAGCACTTTGGGAGGCCGAGGCGGGTGGATCACGAGCTCAACAGATCGAGACCATCCTGGTCAACATGGTGAAACCCCGTCTCTACTAAAACTACAAAAAATGAGCTAGGCATGGTGGCGCGAGCCTGTAATCCCAGCTACTCAGGAGGCTGAGGCAGGAGAATTGCCTGAACCCAGAAGGCAGAGGTTGCGGTGAGCCGAGATCGCGCCATTGCACTCCAGCCTGGGTAACAAGAGCGAAACTCTTTTTCAAAAAAAAAAAAAAAAAAAAAAAAAAAAAATAAAAAAAAGAATTTGGACACTTCCAGTGCTTTTTCTGTCCTTGTGGGGAAAGCTTCTATCCACCTGGTGAAAGTGTCTGTAAATACTAGCAAACACTTTAGTCCCTGTAAGGCGGCCTCTGGGTTAAATCTGTCTTGCAGTCTCCCCATGGTGTGTTACTTGGTGTTGCACAGGTTTAAGTGGGGATCAGGGTGAGGGGCAACTTCCCAAGTTGTAACCCTTTTTATAGTCTGGAACAATCCCTTCTCCAAGAATATTTGAGAAACTAGTGAATAGAGAATCCTATCCCAAATGTGAGGAGTCATGAAAATGTTTCATTATTTCCTGTTTCTCAGCCTCAGGAATAGAGTTTTGTTTCTTTTTTTTTTTTTAAACTATTCTTATGCCTTTTCAAGGAATAGAGTTTATTTTCTAGCAATCATCTGAAGGTCTCACTGGAAGCCTTGTTTTCAGTCCTTTTAATTTCCTTAAGGGTATAGTAATATGGTGCTGCTGACATCGATGGAGTACTTGGTGGTAGTACAGCAGCCTGGAATGCCAGCCTTAGCTGCTCTTTCAACCAGGCCATCTCCTCTAATAATAAAAGTGTCTCCCTTCTGGTATCCCCTGAAGTGAATAATTTTTATTTCCTTTGGGAGTTGGACAGCATCTAAAAGTTGCAAGATCTGGGTAAAGTTGTATGTGTGATCCTTAGTTGTTGATAGTCCCCTTTCCTTCCCTATGGCTGCCTGAGCATGGAGCACCAGGAACCCAGATACACAGTCAGTAAATACATTGACTCTTAAGTTTTGTTTGTTTATTTGTTTGTTTGTTTTTGTAACAGGCTCTTGCTCTGTCACCCAGGCTGGAGTCCAGTGGCATGATTTCAGCTCACTGCAAACTCTACCTCCTGGGTTCAAGTGATTCTTGTGTCCCAGCCTCCCAAGTAACTGGGATTACAGGCAGCCACCATGATGCCAGGCTGATTTTTGTATTTTTAGTAGAGATGGGCTTTCACCATATTGGCCAGGCTGGTCTCAAAATCCTGACCTCCAGTGATCCACCCACCTCTGCCTCCCAAAGTGCTAGGATTACAGTTGTAAGCCACTGCCCCTGGTCTTGAATATTTCCATAGTTGGAATGCCCTCATTAGAACAGTGAATTCTGCTTTTTGAGCAGAATTCTGAGAAGGTAGATCCTTGGCCTCAATGACTTCTTGCTGGCTAATCTTGCTTTCTTATTCCCTCATAAATAAAGCTATTTCCATCTCTAACTACACAACATTGGGGTTAGACAGGGCTTGTCTTTAAGATTGGGTCTTCTAGAGATGTCTTCCACACAGAAATGAATGAGTTGCAGATCTGCTTATGAGACGTGAGGTCCAGCAACAGAGTAGAGGGTTTAAAAATCAACATACTTTAAGGGTA